TAAGCAGACGGCTTATTGGGCTGTCTTGGGGGCAGGGAAGGGGAGAGGCAGCCACACGAATGGTGCCCCAACCCCTTCCCGAGGTTGTCCTCGGAGCAGCCGGCCCTCTGCAGGGCCGGCGCTCCGAGGAGGGCCTCCCTCCGCAGCATTTGCACACACTGCAGCGGAAGAGTTGGCGAACGTGTGCCACAGCCTTTTGTGGCACACCTTCATTGACTTGTGAAAGGAGTGCCAATTTATCATTCCTTTTAGGGGCAGCGAAGCTGCACCACGGGACCAAGGCATGGGGATGCCTCGGTCCCGCGGTGCAGCTTCCTGGGGCAGCCCATGGCCACCCGTCTGCTTCCCCCCTATGTGACAGATGCATAGTGAGAGAATGAGGCCTGGATCCTATTGGTAGTCTCAGTTTAAGTAGATGAATCAGTAGCTGAATGGTGACTCAACAGTTACATAAATCCTCATAACTGATACAATGGATCTACTCAGTTATTTATATCCCTCTTAAATCTATTATTCTAAAGGTATAATACTGGGGAGAACAAAAGCTAGGAAAGGACGAAATAGGATTGAGATGGATATATGAACAGAGCTTACTTTAAAAGCCAATTCTCTTTATTTTGGCTTGGGATTTGATTATGCAAAAACAGTGAGTTTACCCTACATACGTAATGAAGTATTCAACGCTGTAGTGATGCATTTTGTTAACTGCTGTTAATCCCAGATATCATTCTGTACTGATATGAAAAAGAAAAGGAAAGGCTACAGTCAGTAAGCAATTGGCATCTGTTTCTTCTCATTACTGGCACTCCTCTGATTTCAGGTTTTTGGTTTTTTTTTTTTTTTTTTTTTTTTTTTTTTTTTTTGGTAAACATTAGCTACATCCAATTTTAAATACTATGTAAAGTAGCAACTAATCTTCATGGAGGCTACAAGGCAGTAGAATGTTGAATGAGAACAGCCAGATTCATAAAAAATGTGCTAATTTGTAGGCAAATATGGACAAGGTTATAGCATGTAGATAATGGCCTACTATGAAGCAGCAAGTGTTCCAGTTAATTGTATGTTATTCAAAACACAGAGCAATGGAGGCCCTTGCTATATATTGAACTGTACCAATACATTGGGATAGTCCCAGGAGGATTGTTGATACTGAACTAATCCTCTGAAAGTCTATAATCATCACAGTTTCTGATAGGTATGAGAGGTGGAAGATCCTTAAAATATGTAAACCACCTTTAATCCCATCCTGGAATAAAGTTCAATGATTAAATAAATAAATAAATCCTACAGACTCCAATGTACTGCCTTGCTGAAAAATGACACCTCCTAGGCCTAACATAACCCAGCAGGCCAAAAATGTGAGAGGGTGTTTGGAGACCCTTGAGTCCTTAAATGTCCTTGGATGTAGATGAAACCCTTGAGCTAGAGTCCATGAATCTGCTACAGAGTAACTAAAGTTTAGGTATCCAGTTAGTATAATCTTATGAAACAAATCTTGTTCTAATATCAAATGCAAATATTCAAGTGAGAAATAAAACCACAATGATAATATATCATGCAAATGAATAATTGATTTTAGCACAGAACCACATATCACCTTGAAATCAATGTTGTTTATCCCAGATGAAGTTTAGTCTTCCTTGTGCTTAGAGCTTTGTATCATTTGAGTTTCTCACTACTCCCAGTTTGGCTGGATAAGTAGATGGGAGCCTGAAAGTAGCCAGAGGTATTACTTATTGATAATTATTTCACTGAACTCTATCTCCTCCTTTTATGTTTCTTTAAAGGTTTATCATCATATTTATTTGAAGTATGTCTCCTCATCTTATCCACCACCTGCTTTTAAAAAAGTTTGGTTCTTATTTTATTGAGGTACTCGCTATTTCTCTCTCAACATCTTGTTAAAAAATGTGGGGCAAATGGAAAGGAATTATAAATGACAGATACACTGATAACTTTCCGTCACTGTAAAAATAGCAGAAAGTTAACCAGCATATCTATTTGACTGCAATTTAAACCCAAACCTCATAATTTCCTATTTCTCAATAAAAGTGTAAGACTTCTAGAGACAGTAGTGTTGTATCTTTTTCATGCTTGAGAGAAGCTATGAAATCCAGCTATACTAAAGATGGGGGAAGAGACCCACACATTTCTATCATTGAGTCATCTCTTTCATGCAAGAATTTTGTTAGAAAGGCATTCTGATTATAAAGCATAGATATATGACTTTTTTCAATTTGTTTTTGTTGCATTGCTCAGACTTCTGCCAGCAGCTTGCAAGAGCAGGTGCCCTTTCTCTCCATACTGTTGTAACACTATATTCCACTTTAACTTTCATGGTAACATCTTATGGAATTCCCATGTTTGGACTGGAGAACTCTGGCTGGGAATTCTAAATACCTTTTCCTAAACTGTACCCTGATAGAGAAGTTAGATGTTCCTTTTGCTTACGAAAAGACTGATGGGCCATGCCACTACCTGGTATTTTGGGAAATTGAGGACCTTACAAACTGGCCCAAAGGGCTGGCCTGGAAGCAGAGATGGGGAGGGGCAGCTGCACGCTGGCTGCCCCAACCCCAGCCTGATGACATCCTGACGCTGTGCACTGTTACACATGGCATGAAGAAGTAAGCATTTTCATGTGCTGCACCAGAAGGGGTGCTAAAGAGCTGCATGCTGGCTCTTAGGGCACCCTTTTGTCACTCCTTTCAGGGGCCGCAAAAGGGCAGAATGGGGCTGTGGCATGTGGTTGCTGCAGCCTCGATCTGCAGCTAGCAGGGGCGGCCCAGAACTGCCCATCAGCATAGCCCCTGAGATTGATTCTATTAAGCAACTGTGTAGTTTCCCATGGAAACAGTTTCAACTTTACATGAAAGATATCTGGTTTTTACAACATAGAAAGACTAGTCTCCATCATCATTCATCATCTGAATTTCACATGTCATGTAGTTGCTCTGGGGAGTGCCTTCCATAGTAGGCTTTGTGATGCTATCTGTGTACTGCAGCAGCTCTAACATAGGATCAAAGGTCTCACAAGGGATTAAGGAAGATCTGTGGGCATGGCACGTGATTCTACAGGATTTTAATGGTATTTCCTATTGGCAGGAGAAACTAAAGATTAAGTATTAGGGTTTTCAGTTTATTTCTGGAGTCACTGGTGTTCTCTCACTTGGCCTGAGGCCTGGGTTCTGACAGTCCCTTTTTGGTAGCTGTCTCAGTTTGGGCAACCCCTCTGTGCACTTTTGATGTGACAATATTGCCATGATACACATAATCAAGTTTGTCTTCTTGTTCTGAACAGGTTATGTGTTTGCATTTTCACCTTACAATATTTACAGCATAAAATTTTATTTATGGTGCTCAATGTGCTGGGAGTGAACAATGGCATTGCCAACACTCTCTCCTGTAAACATATGGAGAACTTCAGGCAGGTCATCCTGGATGCAGCACTTATTTCAGACCTGGTCACCGGACCTCTGAAAGCTTGAAGGGGTGAGAGCCATTAGTCATTCACTTGTCCTGGGCACTAGGAAGAATTATCTTAGGGTAGTGAGGGAATTTATCCATTTCAGGCAACGACAAGGAGTTTGGGATTGTATCTTTACAGGTGACACACATTTTACAATTCTGTGTTCTCTTTAGGAAAGGGGTTGTCACTACAGTCCACTAGAGGCAGGTTGTCAACCCTTGCCTTTTAAGCTAAGGCTCTGGGATTTTCAGATAGCATAGGTGATTTTAGAGTTTGTAAAATGCTCGAAATGGGGTCCAGGGAGCAAGGTACAATGGCTGGTAGGTATGAACTCCTCTTTCTGGCTGCATTGAGGGGGCTTGGATGGCCTTTGGATAAGTACGGTATCTGCTTCCCATATTATGGGAGTTTTTCTGTTTCATGCTGTTTCCTTTTTAGATTTTTTGAAGCGTTGCACATCAGTGAGTTAGTGGCATAATTTAAGAAGACATCTCTGGTAAGGCACTTGAGATGAGAGATGTTCAGCTGAAACAGCAGAGAGTCCTAACTATTTATTCCTCTAAGACAGACCAGAGGAGAACAGGCACAGCTCTTTGATTGGACTTCTGCAGTGACTGAACAGTATGCTCTTTATTAGTATTGCATGGATCTTTGTGGGGTAAGAGCTCTCAGGCTGGTCCCTTTATTCTGCCATACAGTTAATTTCCCTCTCATCAGATATCAACCTTTGAGAGTTACTCCAAAGGCATTGTCTGGACTGGGCCTAAGTGGGTTCTATTTGGGACTCATTCTTTCATAATTGGAGCTGCCTCAGTAGAATCCACAATGGGCATGGACAGGGGTACCATAAGAAGATGGGGTGATGATGAAGGTCTTCAGTTTATAAGAGGTATATTCATGCTCTCAAATATTAAAATGGCTTGTTCTTTAATATTGTTGCATTTCAGATTCTAAGTTCTGCTTGGAGAGGTTCTGTGTTTTGATCTGCAGACACAGCATGGTCTATTTGGCCATGTGAGAGACATGCTCTTCTGGGCAACAGTTGAGCATGACTAGCCAAGCCACGGTTGAGTCTTATCTTTGCTTGGGAAGTGGAAGGCAATTCCACTGTACATTCTAGTCCAGTGATGGTGAACCTTTTAGAGACCAAATGCCCAAACTCAGTGACATTCCCACAGTGAGTGCCACCGGGTGCCAGAGGCAGGACTTCCAGGGGGTGGGAATTCCAGGGAGTGGGACCATAGCTGAAGTCATAGGTCCAAAACACTCTACAGGAATAATCCAGTCTGAGACCACTTTAACTGCCCTGGCTCAGTGCTAGGGAAACCTGGGAATTGTAGTTTATTGTGGCACCAGAACTCTCTCACCAAACTACAAATTCCAGGATCCCATAGCATTCCGCCCTGGCAGTTAAAGCAACACCAAACTGGATTATTTCTGCAGTGCGGATGCAGCCCTAACACCAGTGGCTGAATATCACTATTTCGTTGATTTTGGATGCTAACTATACTTTGCTATATGGCCAACAAAAGTCAGTGTGGTGTAGTGGTTTGAATGTTGGACTATGGCTCAGGAGGCCAGGGTTTGACTCCCTTCTTGGGCAAGAAACCCACTGAGTGACTTTGGGCAAGTCACACTCTCTCAGCCTCGGTGGATGTCAATGGCAACCCCCTCAGAATAAATCCTGTAACAGGTTTGATGTGTTTGGGACACCAATATGGTGTAGAAGTTTGAATGTTGGACTAGTTCTCTGGGAGATCAGGATCCAATTCTCCATCTTGCTAAGAAAATCCTGTAACAGGTTTGTTGTGTTTGGGACACCAGTGTGGTGTAGTTGTTTGAGTGTTGGACTAGTCCTCTGGGACATCAGGGTTCAGTTCCTCAAGCCACAGAGATGCACCAGGTAACTTTGGTCAAATCAAACTCTCTC